TTCTATTATTCCTTTTAGAAAATGATTTTTATTTTGGGATGAATTTATCAGGACGTGACACCTAAGTACTTCAGGTGTGGTTGAGCAAAGGAGCACTTACTAATTTTAACAAAGAGTTGGTACTGCTGGAGCCTTGCCAAAACTGCCTTGAGATGGGACACATGTTCTGTCAGATTTTGACTATAGATGAGTATGTCATTAACAAAAACAAGAACAAACTTCCTGATCATGTCAGCAAAGATTGTATCCATCAGCCCTTGAAAAGTTTGCTGGTGCATTTGTAAGACCAAATGGCATCACTTTGAATTCATAAAGACCCTGATGTGTCGTAAAGGTTGTTTTGCATTCATCCTGCTCCAGTAGTCGAATTTGGTGGTATCCAGATCTTAAATCCAGCTTAGTAAACCATTGCGATCCTGCCAATTCATCTAGCAATTCATCCACCACTGGCATGGGATACTTGTTCTTGGCTGTAATGTTGTTGAGGGCTCTATAATCCACACAAAATCTCTAGGTCCCATCTTTTTTCTTCACAAGCAGAACTGGAGAGGCAAAGGGGCTTACACTGTGTTGAATTATGCCTTGTTGCAGCATTGTCTTGATTTGTCTTTCAATCTCATCCTTCTGTGTTGGGGCATACCTATAAGGCTTGATGTTAACTGGTTTTGCATCAGGTGTCAATGGAATACTGTGGTCAAAATCCCTCTGGGAGGCAATTCTATGGGTTCCTGAAAAACCTGCTGAAACTCCTGCAATAACTGTTGAACATCAGAGGGCATCTTCTCTTGCTGCTCAATCTCCTCCCTGATTATACAGAGCTGAATCATCTGAGATATGGCCCCCCTCTTTGCCATCCCTGCCAACTGTCTCCCTGAGATAAGTCTACAATGATCTGTCTGATCCTTCACCCCTGTCAAAGTAACATTGTTTCCCTGATGTTGGAATCTCATCCTTTTTCTCTTCCAATCAATCCACATTGGACTGAATCGTTCCAACCAGTCCATCCCAAGTATCATATCATGCCAAGTCCCAACACCTTGAGTACACTAGCAAAACTTTGCCCCTGTCACCACCACTCAACATTTGGAACCACCTTTGTGCAACATAACTGCCCCCCATCTGCTATGGTTACCTTTGTGGATACAATATCTTGAGTTGACAACTGAAGCTTATCAACCACATGTTCAGCTATGAAACTGCTGGAACTTCCCGAATCCACTAAAATCAACAACTCTTGGTTCTGAATTATCCCTTGAAGTCGTATGGTTTTCTTACCAATCACCACAGACAGTGCACATTCAGACAACACAAGTTCCTCTTCCTCACTACTTTCATTTCCTTCTTCCTTCTCCATCTCATCACTTTCTTGAAGCTGTAATACCTCCAAAAGCTCTTCCAGCACATGTAATTGTACAGACTTTGGGCACTTTTGTCCGGGAGCATATTTTTCACCACACTTGAAACACTCTCCCCTAGCTCTTCTTGCAGCTTTCAGAGAGTCAAACCTCTCTTCCCACTTGGGTTTTTCTTCCAACTTCTTACCCTCTTCAGGAGGTGCACCCAAAATGCCTTTCCCCTGATATGGAGTCTTGTTGAAAGTCTTGTAGCTCTCTTTAAATGTCTGCTTCGCTGGTGCCTTCTTGTTCATTTCCCCCAAAAGCTCCTCCTGTGTTTTTGCAAGAGACAACGCAGCATCAACAGAACGAGGCCTGTGCAGCTTGATTGCTGCCTTAATTTCTGTTTTAAGCCCTCCCACAAATTTTGTAACAAAGAAAGTCTCATCATACCCCTTGTTATACACTAGCACCTTATGCATAAGCTCTTCAAACTTGCTGTAATACTCTTCTACACTACCCATTTGGCTATGACCATCTAGTTCCTCAAGGTGTTGCTGGTACCTATCCCTCCAAACTTACTATGCACTGCTACACACAGTTCATACCAGCTTTCAACACTATGCATTTCCTCATAAGTCTGCAACCACAAAGCAGCATTCCCCGTGAAGTGTAAGGTGGCAAAGGCTGACCAAGTTTCATAGGGCACATGGTACATACTAAAGTATTTCTCGCTATTGGTTTTCCACAATTTAGGATTATTGTTAACGACCAAATTTGGTAATATCAGCATCGGAGATGGAGATTAGATTGAAGTGGAATCGAAGATAAGGGTTCTCGCGGAAACAGAGTAAGAATCGGCTGGAGTCCGGATTGGCTACGACTGAGATCGGCTAAGTCTGAGTCAGACTGGGTTAAGTGATACAGCCGATTCCGACAATATGACTCGTATACGACATCGGGTTTGAGTTGATGTGCTTCAAGATGATTGCCGTACATGGATAGAGTCCTGAGAAGGCAATTATATTTATTAATTAGGATATTTTATGTAAATTCCTTAGAGATAAATATGTGCAAAAGTCTGCCGCAAAGACTTATGGTATCTTAGAGTTTGTTAGAGATAATAGTTGTGTCCGATATGGACATATCTTGTAATTCTTGGGTATAAATAGACCCCGAGGCCTATGTAGTAATTTACACACGCGTTCAATACAATCTCGGTGCATCGCCACCCTTTTTACTTTTGTTTTGTTTCGACGAGTTCTTGCTTTCGGGTTGAGCTGCATCGGTTTCGATCTTCAACAAGAGGTAAAACTTGTTATGGCGGCTTGCGTTCTCGGGATTAGTGCTTCCATCTGTATGATACTCTAATCTTGTCTATGTAATTCGTCGAGTTATCATATATCTTATATAACCTCTGACAATATCGTCATCTAACCTACAATCGGCTAACATCTGTTAATAGAAGGCAGCCGATTAGGTTAAATAACGATGTTGGCTTAGATTATATAGGATATCTACCACTCTATGACACATCCAGCGACTTGATTGTCTAGATATTGTTCTTCTTTTCATACTTAATGCTGCATCAGTTGAGTTTGATCTATTAAGTCGTGCTTAGAATTTCAATCTCTAGCCTGCCTTCTGGTTGCCGATTAGGGTAGTATCGGAGTTTCAGCCGATCTTATCTGATTTAACTACTTTTACCCTATATGCTTGACTGATATGTTAAATCAGCCCTTTATATTAAATATCTTGTTGCATCTAAATATATTAGGCTTCTGTTTTAGTATATTCTACTTGCTTTAATATCTTAATATAGAGTGGTATCGGAGTATTAGCCGATACATGCTAGATCTATCTGATCGGCTATGCTATGAATATATATATAATCTCATTATTAATATATATTTCGATCTAAGTGATTTATACTGTCTCGGCAAGGTGACCGATCTATCCCAATCATTTGATTTAAGTATATATCGATATAAGGATTATATACCATTAATATCTACAGCCGATCGAGTAGATTTAGTTCTGATTTGTTTATTAATACTTGCTGATCGATGTACATATGACATCGGCCTAAAGATAAATGATATGTCATCGGCTCCTAGCTAATCGGCTATCGTTTTTGGATTTAACCACAGTTTCTTTGTCTTTGTTTCTTGTTGATTACAAGATCAAATCAACTGGCACGCTCATACATCCGAAGGTGAGTTTTGGACCTGCACTGGAGTTAAGCAGATCTCCCAAGCCTCGTGTTTTCTGTCAACAATTATCACCATCAAATTTTGGGAAATCAGTTTTAGGCAACCTAGAATTTCCAACTCGTCCACCACTCTGAGATCCCGGAGCCCCACGCTCAGAACTCTCCCCAATTTCAAAATTAACTGGCGAATTGCGAAAAATTGGCTTACCCTTCACCAGGGTTCGATCCTGAACCGAATTGGCTCCAGAATCAAAACCATGGTGATGTTCTTCTCCGCGGTGCCCATCGGGCATTGGCGTCGCCATTGCTGATGTCGCCTGGGGCCTTGCTTCAAGATCCGTCACGCGAGCGGCAATTCCTTCCACCGTGCTCCGCAGGTCCTTGATCCCTGCATCAACACTTGGAATCCACTTCTCGAGCCCTTGCATGGTTCCCAGCAAGATGTTGATGTTGGTGGTGAGCTCGGTGACGCGCTCTCCCAACGTCTCGATCTCTTCTTCCGCCGCCCCCATTCTCTGAGTAAGAGTTGCTTGAGATTTCTTCCTCGCCAGGATGCGCCCAACCTGAGCTCTGATACCAGATGTCACGAACTCTCGGATTCCGGCGAAACGCTCGGAGATTGAAGGGGAATCAGGTTCGCGATTGAGGAATGAGAGGAGGAGTAGAGCAGAACAGAGGTAGACGATGAGAGGTTGTTGGTTTGAGTTTTTCTTATTCGATAAATGCTTTATAGCTCAGCTCGCCATATAAATGGCAGCACAACGCACATGTGTCTGATGCCACCGCCGAACCAGCACGGCACATCGATACACATACACGCAACTGGCCCATCTGCGGCCCATCACAGAATACAACCCAATTCAAAGAATCACCGAAGTATCTAATAAGGATCACGACAAGCCGGTGGCCGTGGGGCGTACAGGAGGAGCCAAGAGGACTGTGCTGGCGAGAGAGAGAGACGCGCGGGGCGAAGACCGCAAGACAACGGCAGTGGCGCGAGGAGGAAGATGACGGTCGATGCCCCTGCTTGGCACGGCACAGCCCACTTCACCAGCTGTGCAACGACGCCTTTACGGGATGTGCCGCGCGAAACATTTGGGCTGCACTATGGGAGAGGAGAGAAGTGGATTGATATACACATGAATCTTCATGCTAAATACTCCCTCCGTCCCTAAATATTTGACGCCGTTGACTCTTTTAAACATGTTTAACCGTTTGTTTTATTCAGAAACTTTTGTGAAATATGTAAAACTATATGTATACATAGAAGTATATTTAACAATGAATCAAATGATAGGAAAAATAATAATAATTACTTAAATTTTTTAATAAGACGAATGGTCAAACATGTTTAAAAAAGTCAACGACGTCAAACATTTAGAGACGGAGGGAGAGGGTTTTATAAAAAAGAAATAAGATAACACTTCGAATTGTGTAAACCAACCGGACTAAGATCTGCAGGGGTGACTGTTGTTGTACTCATTGCCACCGACATGTGAGCCCAAATGTCATTGGTAGTGACTGCACAGTGGTCACCGCACTGGATCCTACCCAATAAACCAACATATTATGTCTAAGTGCCACTTAAAAACAATTTGATTGTGTCCCATTTTTTTTCAATTTAGTTTGTATTGTATTGCAGTGAAGGTTTTACAAATCATATTACTCGACCTATTTGCACTCACTACACACAATTTTGTATACTATGATCAATTAACTAGGCAACATTTTAAACATAAACATATGCTCAGCATACAACATTCAATGGTCTAGAATTAGCATGTTGTCCCAGATCCCTGCCCATGCTCTTCTGGAGTGGTAAGACATTTGGTGGTCCATGATCGAGGTGGAGAACAGTCCCCCATGCGTCATCTGCAGTCGGACAAAAAAAAAACTGCATTTAAATTTCAAAGTTGCGTGATACGGGACATCTCTAAATTTAAAGTACACTTTCAAATATACATTTAAATTGCAAATATATGTGATACTGGACGTCCCTAAATTAAGAACACTCTAGTCTAGACTAGACTAGAGGTGCGATAATGATGTCAGAGTAGAGACTTCAAATAAATAACAAATGATGCCAAAATTTTTTTTTACAGGGGCTAATTGAGTTGGGTCACGATTTAAATCTCATCGTATTCGTACCTCGTTTGCAAAGCAGGCAGCAGAGCAACCTCATCAACTGTAATAGCTTACGCTCTCTCTGTATCTGCCATATCCACCGTGAGCACTCTCCTTGATTATCTGTAATCACAAGATCACTCCGGTTCACCTATTTCTGAAAGGATAGCTGCATCCACATTGACCAATTAAACAATAGTAATTGATGGTCCAATCCTAGCTATATACTACAGAGAAAACAAGGATTACCTTAGTAAGAAGGAACTTGGACCTGTTCACCGAATTCTCTCCCAAATATTTTTGTGGATTACTCGAACAGTGACTTTCCTTATGTAATTGATCTTCAGAAGATCTTTACTTGGTTCCCCACCTTTTCGCCGAAGCTTCTCTATGAGATCCTCGCTTACTTGTTCAAGATGAAGTTCCTCCAGAGCTGCTAGGTGCTCAATGCCATCAGGAATTGTCATCAGTTCTGGACAGTCACGAAGTGTTAGCCTTGCAAGGCTTTGCATTGCACTTTCTTCTATTTCAATTTGTCTGAGATTTGGAGCATCCCACACTCGTAATGTCCGGAGTTTCGGGAAGGATTCTGCACAAAAATGCAGTTTCTCCCCTTCAAAAGCTCTCATAAGGTGAAGAAAGCATAGACCATGCAACATCTGAAGGCTGTAAAGAGAGTCTTGGTCAAGCTTTGAGAATGCCATTACCAACTTGGATAGGTTGTGGAGGTGTGATAAGGATGATAGACTCTGATGGATTGACTCCTTCTCCAGCTGCCCCTTCAGTTCGAGAATCGAGAGAGTTGGAGGCAAACGAAGTGCTTCCACTTTCAACACTTGTTCGTCATCTAACGCTGAAATCCTCAAATGGACAAGATGGATCATCTTCATGATAGAGTTGCATAATCCAGAAAAGTGTTCAGTTCTTGTGTTGGCAACACCAAGGTTTCTTATCTCTGTGAAAACACCGAGGTGACTCAAAATTGTTTCATTTGACTCAACATACTGAAGTGAGTGCAATCCTGTCAAGTGCACTATGCCTTCAGGAACCCTTGTTCCAGTGAAAACTGCGACTTTGTACTTGTCCTCTAAAAATAAATTGCCAACATACAGGTATCGCAACTTCCGGAGCTTCGCTATAACTTTTGGGATAGTCGATAATCCAGCATTAAACACATCCAAAACCTCTAAGTTCTGCAATCGTCCAATTTCCTCGGAGAGAATTTCAATACCAGTATGCCTAAGGCACAAGAAACGAAGATTAAACAAGTTAAATATCTCATTCGGCAGTGACTTGATACGAACACGTGACAAATCCAAAGTAGACAGCATGTTCGAACATTTCAGGAAGGAATTC